AGCATGCAATGACAAAACTGACGACACCAGCGAGGCAATTTTGAAATGGCTTGATCGCGTTCAAAGGTGGTTTCCAGAGTCTGGGGAATTGGAGCACACATCGAATCATTCCCATCTCCCATTGCTCGAATAGGCAGGGAGGGTCTCCAGATACGAATACGAACGGCCCGTCATTGGATGAGCTGCTGGTGCCACCGATTGGTCCCTCCCCTGTTCCCGATTTTCTGGCGCAACGTCCAACATGGACCAACAGGGACGCACAGGTGCTTCCGAGTGGAAAGGGGGCCACTGGGGGGGCACCTAGCATCTCATGGAAGCGAACATGGGAAAAAAAGGGCAGAAAGCAAAAGGAAGAAGAGGTTGCGGCGCGGCTTTCTCTGCCATAATGCGCTAGAAACCCTGTGACAGACGCCTCAAAATCGATTCGGGTGGCCAGATGTCACAGCTTCTTGGCTCCACGACAATTTTTGACATGCGAAATGCTTGACCGCCTACCTTAGCCATGGCCGCTATGCAACGGATACTTAGGTACATTGGCTTAGCTGCTGGCTGGCCAGGTAATGTGAGGTAAGGTAGGCGCACACAGACGTAAGGTAGTGGTGCTCCTTGGTTACGCAAAGAAAATGTGGAACCCAACAAAACGCGGCAGGTATCTAATCTCATTAATGGATAATTTAAAACCACTGCTGGACCCCCCTTCTCGATGCCTTCCACTTTCTTCGTGCCACTGATATTCGACTTGTGCGTGCGGTCACTGCTCTCGAAAACACAGGCAACCTCGACAACCGCGCCAGATCATTTCGATTGACGCATCATCTGTCCTCAGACCCTCATCTGCCCAGCATGGGTCTCCTCCAAGAAGTCGCGGGACCGGTGTCCCAGCAGTTCCAGACTTTGGGAACTGCGTCGCAAGTCGCAATCGTCTTCGCTGCTGTCGTGGTCGTCTCTGTCATCCTCAACGTCGCAAATCAGATCCTCTTCAAGAACAAGAATGAGCCTCCCATGGTCTTCCACTGGTTCCCCTTCATCGGCAGCACCGTCATCTATGGCATGGACCCCCCAGCTTTCTTCAAGGCCAACCGCGAAAAGGTATGCGCACCACCACCGAAACTAACTCTCACCTACCTCGTGTGGTCTCTTACTAATGCACGCTACTCCCATAGTTTGGCGATGTCTTCACTTTCGTTCTCCTCGGCAAGAAGACCACGGTCGCTCTCGGAACTCAGGGCAATGACTTCATCCTCAACGGCAAGCTCAAGGATGTGAATGCTGAGGATATCTACACTGTTTTGACCACTCCCGTTTTTGGACGCGATGTTGTCTACGACTGCCCAAACGCCAAGCTCATGGAGCAGAAGAAGGTATGCGGACAGTCCAAACTCTGGTTGCGCAAAGTTGTATGCTGACTGGCTACGCGCCCCTCCAGTTCATGAAGATTGCCCTCACCACTGAGGCCTTCCGCTCCTACACCCCCATCATTGCCGACGAGGTTACCAACTACTTCAAGCGCAGCCCTGACTTCAAGGGCAAGTCTGGCGTCGTCAATCTGCCCCCCAAGCTGGCCGAGATCACCATTTTCACCGCCTCCCACGCTCTTCAGGGCGCCGAGATCCGCAACAAGTTTGACGAGTCCCTTGCCTCTCTCTACCATGACCTCGACATGGGCTTCACCTCCATCAACTTTGTGCTGCACTGGGCTCCTCTCCCCTGGAACAAGAAGCGTGATCACGCCCAGCGCACCGTTGCTCAGATCTACATGGATGAAATCAAGCAGCGCCGCGAGCAAGGCCGCACCGACGGACTCGATATCATGACCCATCTGATGAACTCTACCTACAAGAACGGCACCAAGGTCCCCGACCACGAGATCGCCAACATGATGATTGCCCTCCTCATGGCCGGCCAGCACTCTTCCTCCTCCACCAGCTCTTGGATCATGCTTCGTCTCGCCCAGTACCCTCAGATTATGGAGGAGCTCTACGAGGAGCAGGTCCGTGTTCTCGGCGCCGACCTTCCTCCCCTGACCTACGAAGACCTCGCCAAGCTGCCCCTTAACCAGGCCATCATCAAGGAGACTCTTCGCCTGCACGCCCCCATCCACTCCATCATGCGCGCCGTTACATCTCCCATGCCCGTTCCCGGTACCAAGTACGTCATTCCTACCAGTCACACCCTCCTCGCCGCTCCTGGTGTCTCTGGCTCCGACCCCGTCTACTTCCCCGAGCCCGAGGAATGGAACCCCCACCGCTGGGACGCCGACTCTCCTATCGCCCCCAGACTCGGACGCCCCGAAGATGCCGATGATGAGAAGATCGATTACGGTTACGGCTTGGTTAGCAAGGGTGCCGGATCGCCTTACCTCCCCTTCGGCGCTGGTCGTCACCGCTGCATCGGTGAGCACTTTGCCAACCTGCAGCTGCAGACCATTACCGCCATGATTGTCAGAGAATTCAAGTTCCGCAACGCCGATGGCAGCAATAAGATCAACGGCACAGACTACGCCTCCCTTTTCTCACGGCCATTGGAGCCCGCCAACATCTACTGGGAGAAGCGCAACCCCTAGATGATGAGTATTTTTAAAGGAGGGATTCTGGGTTGAGGACTGTACATTGCAAGCCATTATGACTATATATCACATGGTAAAGAGGGATAAAAGAGACTTAGACATGACAGCGCTACGGCGCCAGAAGGTGGCAGACTAGACGGTCACCACCGAATAATATTAATACAAAAGACCGTTATGACATCACGACTATCCATCCAACCGGCCATCCACCAACCAGTGCAGACCATGGATCTTTTTTTCAGTATAGAAGATTTCGGAGAATAATCATGCACTTGGAGCATGGTAGACCAGCATTGGTAGCTTGCGGGGTCCTGACATGACTGAGAGTGGTGATAACGACAATCGAGTGCGTCGCTGAGTGGTCCGGCTGATCGGCCTGGTTCTGTTTCAAGGTCAGTGCGGCGAACCTGGCAAGGACGTCTCAGACAGCTAGGTATAGCTATCCCCTTCCGCCCTTCCCCCTCGCATCCCTCTCCTCCCCTCACACTCATCCCAAAGCTGGAGCTTGAGCTTGAGCTTGAGCTTTATTCTTTGACATCGTCACTGTCAAACTACCTCGCGCAATCGCCAGACGAACAGCCGCGTACCAAACGTGGGGTTTTGAGTTTTGCTCACTGACGTCGCGTAGCCAACATCTACTTAACCCACAGACTGCGTTCCGATCTACCCGTCTCATATAAGAACCCCGTAGGGAATTTGCGATTGCGACAAGATTAGGGGGACCTTGAGCTCTTTGCGACGGAAGCACGCATTACTCGTATGACAACCAGGATCTACAGTCTCATAAAGTCAGAAGCTTAGGCGTACAACAAACCCCCGGACCTTGCCGGAATGAACACTGAGGACGAAAACCTGGGACCCCTGGTCCGCCTATGGGGCCTCCGGACGGAGCAGCTCCCGGCGCCGAGCGCCACGACGGCGGACTTGGCACCGTTTCTCATCGCCGTGCTCCAAGAAGCCGTTCCGTTCATCGACGCCGTGGCGCCCAAGGACGGCACGGCGCGCCCCAATGAGTGGAAGGCCAAGGGCACAAAGACGTTTCCCGAGTCGACGGCGCCCGTGGAGCTGTACGAGCGCATCGTGCCCGCGGCGGAGCTGGAGAAGGAGGCGGCGAGGAACCAGCTGCCCAACAGCAGCTCGGTCGCGAGCGAGACGTGGGCGTGCCGGCGGAGCATCCACAAAGATCGGCCGGGCAAGGGGACGGCGGCGTGGGAGGAGTTTGTCAAGTGTTTCAAGGACGACCACGTCGAGGCCGAGAAGGCGTTTACGCCCAACGTGATGGAGGCGCGGGAGGCGCTCGCGTGGGATTGCAGCGGTATCGTCGTTGACGAGGGCGGGTTGTCGTGGGAGAATTTCAAGGTTGGGGTGTCGGAGATCAAGCACAAGCTCGGGATGCCGCTCAAGAACCGCGTGTTCCCCGTGCTCATTATCTCGGCCAGGGCCAAGGGTGCGGTGGACGAGTTCGTCGTGGTGTCGATACCCGTCTCGGACCTAGCTGCGTCGGAGCACGGGAAGCTCGTCAAGGATAAGGGTGTGGTTGTGGGCGCGTACGTGAGCGTCGAGAGGGTTCGAAAGCTGCCGACGGGGGCGATTGAATGGATTATGGCTACGGCGTCGGACGCGAAGGGGGTGCTGCCTGCGTGGATTCAGGCAAAGGCCGTCATTGGCGTGGTGGCTAAGGACGTTGCGCTGTTTCTAGGCTGGATTGCTGAGGAGCGGGAGAAGGGAACGAGCGTAGGGAAGTGGACTGCCGTCAAGGGGAACGGTGGAGGGAGTGAGATCCCGAACCGCAAGCCGTCTATGACTTTGGAGGATGCCGAGTCTTCGATGCAGGGCGGTCGCACTTCGAGGCAAGGCGTGTCTTCGAGGAATGGGAAAGAGCCAGCGGCAGGAAGTACGAATGGAGGAGGATCGGGGACAAATGGCCAGGTACACGCATGAGAGGAGGCCTTTTGCAAGTTTCCAGCACGCGATATCTAAGTTGCAGTAGGACTTTAAGCTAATACATATGATCGTTAAAAGCCACTGAATGCCTCGAGCCCCTTCTAGATTCAGCTCCCCCAAGGAAGAGCAGGTGCATGAATGACTGGCTTGGGCTCCTTCCCACAACGAACATCTGGGAATGGTAGGAACCTTCTCGCACCTGCCCTGACTTCCTCCGACGCCATGCAAATCCTGGAACCAGACACCTGACCTGCCATCCCCGACTTCTGTGGGAGCAATCGAAGCCCTCCTTTCTTTTCAACCCTTTTCCACACATCGCCAAACAAGACGCAGGCGGTTCTTCAGCCCTCATTCTGTATATCATCAACCGGCTCGACGTTCCTCTCTTCTGTCCTCGTCAACCACTTCTGTGTGTGTTCTTCTATCACGTCATTCCTCTCAGTGCCTTCCTATTCTCTTACATAAACCAGGAGAAGCCACAACCATCACAATGCCGCCGGCAACGTCGAAGAAACGGTCAGCTACAGCGTCGAACCTCGAACACACAGCTGCCCCTGCCGGACCGTCTGTAAGCAACAGTAGAGCTGTTTGTATGATGCCGTTGGTTCTAATACGTCAGGGCACATGCAGAACAATGGTGCCGCTGCAACTAATACCATTCCCGCAACCCAGATGGCCTTTGGCATGAGCCACATTGTCATCTATCAAGAGCTCATGACCATGCGTCGTGCTCTTGATGACATTTCTCGTCGCCAGGAGAAGAGCGACGAGACGAACAAAAACAGCGAGACGAGGCTGCAGGAGCTGCAGCCCATGCCTAAGCGACTGGATGATCTGGGAGCCGAACTGAACAATCACTATGCAGCAGCAGAGGGAAAGATCCGGAAGCAGGAGGAAGAGCTTAGAGCTTTTGCAGATAGGCTCTTCCAGGGCGATGAAGAGAGGGCGGCTTTGGACCGCAAGGTTGCACAACTCGTCGCTGAGCAGTCCTTGCAGGCGACGCAGGATGACCCAGATAACTGTAGGAAATCCAAATCCCAAAACACAGAGTACGAAGCTGACATGTGTTAGTTCGGGCTGTTGTCAGAAAGAGGCCTCGAGCTGTCGACAGTGAGGAGCCTATCTCAGCGCCGCCCAAGCCTCAACAGCAACCGAAGAGACGCGTTAAATTGGTCCCCGAACAATCCAAGTCTAGAGCCCCCAAGTCCAACCCGGCAAAGTCCAATGCTCCCAAGCGCCTCCCAACGCAATTTGAGATCTTCCAGAGATACAAGCAAGGCAAAATGGATGAGTACTACCGAGCGCCTCGCAGGAGGGGCAACGATTTGAGGAAATTCATCAACGATTTTATTCAGGGCATTGAAGACGAAGGAATTTCTAATTCTGTGCAGGATAACCTCTTGAAACAGTTTTCTGGCTCAGTTCGGAAACTCAAGACCCGTAAAGGATCCCGATTCATTGCCATAGGGAATGAGCTCCAATGGGAAGATATCAGTCAGGTTGTTGATGACCCGAAGCTACGAGATGATTTGGAGTGAGACGCGGGCTCAAAGCGCAGAATATTCGATATTTGGGTGAAGCACATTGATAGAATGGTTGTCGGCCAATAGAAGGCAAGTAGAAGAGGACGCAATGTATGATGAGAAAATAGCGATGATGGAACTTAACAGGTAGCGTGGCAACAGAGCTCATATCCAGAGTTATCCTAGTTAGATACTGAAAAAGACTTGCTTTCAACCAACTACCTTACGTAGTCTGTGACTCCGTACCAAGATGGATCTGAGTATCCGGTCGACCGCAACGTCTCCAGTAAGGTGATTGAAGTGAATGCGGTTGGTTCCATTGCCTGAAGGAGCAGTCGGGTCTGTGCACCATGCCGCCAGCGTTTGTCACGCTAAAGCTTCCACTCACCACACGCGACCTGCAAGGCTGGTCTTGCTCAAAGTTAGCTACTTTCCAGGGTGCGGGTACCTTTCTACTGCGTAAGTACCGTGGTCAGCTAGGACCTAAGGTACCTTATTACCCATGGATCTCAACTTCCGCTTCTAACTTTGCGCCTCCGGCCTTGATGCACGCACCTTCGAATCTCTACCCAAGAATTCTATTGCGTACGGATCTGCCAAGAGTTTCTCCAAGGCGACAACTCCGGCGCACTTGATTCAACGAGTCCTTGAACATTGTTTCCCGCGCCTTCAATCAGAAAGGGATCCCGTATGCGCTCCACTTAACCTCCCCGCGAAGATCGAGGCGCGCCTGCCTTTCCGATCTACACAAACGAAATCCTTCTCTTAACTCTGACTATACCCCCTGGATGCGACAAACAGAAATACCTTACTGCGAACACCCGTGATACTTTCGACGAGCGACCTTGAAAGATGCCAGACATCAGTGCGCCGCCGCCGCCACGGCCGAAGCTGAAGCTCAGCGTGAATTCGCGACAGACATCATTCAGCGAACAGAACGGCGCGACACCTACAGCTTCGACACCTTCTGGGATGAAGATTAAACTCAAATCATCACAACCGCCAACGCCGGCTGGGCCGGTAGCACCAACACCGATCAAGACAAAAGCTGGGCGTCAATCGAAGCCCACGAGCAAGCTCATCGAGTCGAAGAAGAGGGAACAAGACGAAGATGACGACGGCGCAAACCAACCGTCTTCGAAAAAGATCAAGCTTCTCAAGACGCCGAACGTATCGACACCTAGATCGGGTCACATCGTTGTCAAGTCGAAAGGCAAACCACCAGTACATCCCCCTGGTGATGGCTACGACTCGGAAGCCAGCGACCAAGAGAAGGACCCTACAATCGAGGAGCAGTTCATTTTGCGCATGATGCCAGGAGAGCATTGCGAATACGTCAGGAAGTGCGTCGAAGAAGGCAAGGTGGGCCTCCCTCGAAAAGATGGTGGCGCGGATATAATGATGAAGTTTTTCGACGACGAAAGCCGGCGCGCGGTCGTTGTCGTAAAAAACCAACCGTACGCAGCGGTCATGGTTGAGCTACCGACAATCACGGAAGGAATGAAGTCCTGGGACCGGAAGACGCTCATGAAGTCAGCCGACATCTGCCATATGCTGCTGGTCTTCCAGCCTGTAAAGAGTGACGAAGAGGCAAAGAAGGCACCATTACCTGCGATGATTCAGCCAGGCTTCAAGTGGCCTCACGGACTGACGCCACCGATGCACGACGCAACGAATCAAAGATTCGCAAAAATTATCAGTCGCTCTGAGATCGAATTGAAGGAGAACGAGGTTAAGAAACTCTTGCAGGCCGATGCGGCCGCTATGTCCTCCAAATATGAGTTCATCGACGACAGAAAGATGCAGTCTGGCGACGAGTACTCCGACGACGAACAGGACGCCGATGGCGAGGCCGATGACAGCGGCTACTTCCCCTCTGAGGGCTATGCCAACGGCGAACTATTTGACGACGATGACCACGATTTGGAGGCAGAGCTTGAGGCTGCTTTCGAAGAGGAGTTGAACCAGGCCACGACTGAGGTTGGCACACCAGCAACACAAGTTGAGGGGGCCACGCCGATGACTATGAACGCCGGCACACCGGCAGCCAACGCACGTGATGGGGATGAGTCCGTCGCTAGTGAAGAGGACGAAGATGACGACGACGACGACGATGACGATGATGACGACGAGGACAAGCCGCCTCAGGACGAAATCAAGGCCGTCAGAGAAGATATCGTGAATCTCAAGGCAGAGATTGCAAAAAAGGAGCAGGAGAAGGCTCTCCAACAAAACAAGATTCTGCGGAAGCGTGTGGAGGACAGGTTGAAGCAGCTGAGGGCAGAATTGGCGCTCAAGCAAACGTCTATCAACGAAGAAGAGGAGGACGACGATTAAGGCAGAAGCGCCCTGAGCGCCCACATAAGATTGCAAACGGAAGGGCAAGAATATCCACTTCAAAGCAATTTTATCTACGGCCATGTATAGTTATCATGCCCACAAGCTTCTAATATTGGAAACCAGAGCCCGCAGTGCTCTAAGAACATCGTTCTTCTTACTCGTCCAGTTGATATTTTGGTGATGATATAACAAGCCGGTCATGACGACCGTAGATATTGTACAGGAGCCCCCTTCTTGAGAGCTCTCTATGATACACAATCTCGACCCCTTCCTGCCACATACGTAGCAACCATACAAGATGCAACAAGCCACCACAGCGGTGCCACCACGACCCCCCGCTTACATGGACTTGAGGTAGTTGGACTCCTTGATCTTGGCCTTGCGGTCCTTGCGCATCGCCTTGCGCAGCTCGTCTCTCTTGGTCGCCGCCTCGAGGTTGTGCTCGACGTCGCCACCCTTCTCTCCTGGCAAGTTGATGGACTGTTGGGGCAGCGGGACCTTTGGTGCGAGGGCCTCGAGGTCGCCTGAGGCAAGAACCTTGGCCTCGAGAGCCTTTTGCTTCTTGGCGGCGGCCTTGCGCTGCTTCTTGGACTTGGCTGTGCGTTTTGTATGTTAGATGTTGTACTCAACATGGTTTTTTTCTTGAGCCAGGACAAATTGGTTGGGAAAAGGGAAACGTACAAAACATCTCGGCGGCGAGGTCATCCGTAGACTCTACAGCCTCGCTCTTGGACTCGAGGACCGTCCACAGCCAGTCGGGGTACGCCTCATCGGGGAGAGCGACGGGGTCCGTCTTGTTCTTGAAGTAGTTGAGGCCGTTGAGGACGGTACCGGGCGGGCAGGAAGAGATGGGCGCCGCGGCCTCGGGGATGTCGGCGGTGGACGAGGAGAGCTTCGGGGGTGCGTCCTTGGCGTTGGTGGCGGCAGGAGTAGCAGGAGCAGCAGCTCCTGCAGCAGGCGCTTCTACTGCGTTTCTTGAGGGCGCGGAGAGGGAGAAGGGTCTGATGAGGAGGGACGAGGCGCGAGGGGCCTGGAGACGGGGTAGGGCCGAGGCGCCGCGGCGCATGCACGTTCTGCAAATCATGGCTTCTGTATCTGGGGGGTTGCCGAGCGCGGTCGATCTGCGTCACCGGTGCTGGATATCTCTGTGGGTTGTTCGTCGACGAGGATCACCTTGAACTTTTGGTGGTGTTGCAGGATGCGTGAGCTTGAAGCTCGGGGATGGAAAAATTCTGGGGCGGGCGGGACGCGCCTGTTGCGCACTTGGCATGGGAGGCTCTGGGCACTACGCTTCACCGGCCCTTCACCCTCACTTACAACCCGTCGTTAAAGTCAATTGATGAACACAAGATAATAATCTAGATTATCTGATAGAAGCCAGCGGGAATTTACTCAAAGCTGGCTGATTCGAGAGTCATTGGGTGACCAGAAGCTGAGACACGGATAGATGCATAACCTCAAAAGCCCTGTTTGATTCATTTGTACATATCGTGAGGGATATCGCCCATCACGCTCCGGCTCGTTGACGTGGTACCGTCACAGCCTCGTCTCTGCGTTCCCCATTTCTAAATCCTGAGAGAGGTCGTCTTCGAGAGCGCCGCTTCCTGCTTCACAACAGTCCCTTCTACTCCGTCCCATCGTACAGCATATCTATTGCTTGCTGATGTAGTTCTGCTGCTCGAACAGTGTGCCCTTAACCTTCTTCTCCTTCAACAATTGCAGGTACTTTTCTGTATCACTGATCAGCGTCTTTTCTTCACCCGGCCAAGATACACCCGCTGGTGGACTGCAAATCGAGCTCTCCCCTCCGTCTCTCGCAAAGGCCTACTAACCTCTGAGGTGACCGCAGTTCTCCAAGTGGTTCACGCCCTCCTTCTTGTAGCACTTGCCCAATTCCTCGCCAACAAGGCGCAGCATCATAGCGCCGACCCATTGTTCACGGATGATGGCGTCCTGTGCCTGCTTGAATGCCTTGGTGTCGTCGTAGTCGACGCCGTCGAAAGTTGGGGGCACCTTGGGCTTTTGTGCCAGGAACATCGCGGACTCGGGGGTCGGCATTATGACTGAGTTGTGTATTCAAAAGTCGTCTTCTCGAGGAAGGAATGAAGTTCGAATTGAGCCGGGAGGTCGGAGGTCGCGGACGGAGTGTGGTCAAGCTTCGTGGAATCGTAATGGTCGACTTCGGGACCGTTGGCTGTCGGGATTGGAGGAACCTGGCAGCTAGAGAGGTCAGCCAGAATCCGGCGGCCTTAATTCGCAGGCTCAGTCGCGCCCCCGTTGCTCACGGACCACGGCCGTCGTTCCTGCTTTCCCCCAGAGCGACTCGGCTGCGGCTTTTCGGTACGTACCCAGATGGACCCGCTATCTTGCAGCCCCTCGCACACCGCCCGCGCAGTCGAGGGAGAAGCCCCGCTGAAAAGTTGGCAAATCGCAAAAAAAAATCTCTGTCGCAAGACCCTTCGCCCCAACCACCGAGACCCTGGCCTTAAAAGTCAAGCTCCCACCCCCAAGCTTCAATCAACTTTTCTCTTGTGCAACCTCTCTGGAAAAAGTCTTTCTCTTGCCTATTTCCAAATACCAATCTCTTGTTCTTGATACCCCTTCCGTTTACCCTTTCAAAATCATCACAATGGGCAAGACCAAGTCATCCACCAAGGCCACCAAGGCCGCCGACCCTCTCACCAAGGTGAAGGGCGCTGGCGTCACCAAGGCCTCTGAGAGCCCCAAGGCCAAGTCCAAGGCCATTGCAAAGGAGGTCGAAAAGAAGGCTTCCAAGAAGTCCAAGAAGGTCGTTGAGCCCGAGTCTGAGTCTTCCGAGAGCGAGTCTTCCGACTCTTCTGAGTCTGAGGCTGAGGCTTCCAGCGACGACTCTTCCTCCGAGTCTGAGGAGGAGAAGCCCGTCAAGAAGGCTGCCCCCAAGGCTGCTGCCGCCAAGAAGGCCGAGTCCTCTGACTCCTCCGACTCTGACTCTGACTCTGACTCCTCTGAGTCTGAGGCTGAGGCTGCCCCCAAGACCAACGGTACCGCCAAGAAGGCCGAGTCTTCTGACAGCGAGTCTGACTCTGACTCCGACTCAGAGTCTGAGGAGGAGGAGAAGACCGAGAAGAAGGTTGAGAAGAAGGCTGAGGCCGTGAGTTGAACCATCGTCTTGAGGACCATATCACTTTCTAATAATCCTTTCACAGAGCTCCGACTCCTCCGACTCCGATTCCGACTCTTCCGACTCTGATGAGGAGGAGACCTCCGACTCTAAGGAAGCATCCGAGACTGAGGCCAAGGCTGAAGAGCCCTCCAAGAAGCGCAAGGCCCTTGATGACCCCGTCATCCCCGGCAAGAAGGCACGCACCGATGTCTCTGACAAGAGCTCTACCCTCTTCGTCGGCTCCCTTGCTTGGGCTGTCGATGATAACTCCCTGTACGCCGCCTTCGAGGAGTTCGCTGATCTCACTGGCGCTCGCGTCGTTACCGACAAGAACACTGGCCGCAGCCGTGGTTTCGGTTACGTCGACTTCTCTACCCCCGAGGCTGCTGCCGCTGCCCTCGAGGCCGCTCAGGGCCGTGAGCTCTCTGGTCGTGCCATGAACATCGACTTCTCCGGCCAGAAGCCCCAGGGCGAGGGCAACCCCGCCGCCCGCGCTTTCGACCGCGCCCAGAAGCACGGCGACCAGGTCTCCCCCGAGAGCGATACCCTCTTCGTCGGCAACCTTCCTTTCGACATTGATCAGGATTCCGTCCGCGCTTTCTTCACTGAGGCTGCTGAGGTCACCAGCGTCCGTCTGCCCACTGACCCGTGAGTATCTTCCACAACTTATACCAACTTCATCAATGTTAACGCCTTTGTAGTGAGTCGGGTAACCTCAAGGGATTCGGATACGTCTCCTTCGGCTCCATCGAGGACGCCAAGACTGCCTTCACTCAGCTGAACGGTGGTTACCTTGGTGAGGGCCGCAGTGCTCGCGCTGTCCGTCTGGACTACGCCGGCCAGAAGCCCCAGCGTGAGGGTGGCGGCCGCGGTGGATTCGGTGGTGGCCGTGGTGGCAGTCGTGGACGCGGCGGCTTCGGAGGCCGTGGCGGTGGTGACCGCGGTGGACGTGGTGGCCGTGGCGGTCGTGGTGGTTTTTCCTCCACCAACCGTGGCGGTTTCGGTGACTTCAAGGGCTCCAAGGTCACCTTCTAAACGGTGATGCATGCTGCACATTGATGATTGATCAGAGGGCACTTCGCGGGCATTCCTGTGGGCTACTGTGGGCTGTCGGTTCGACACAAGTTTCTTCCCTTTTTTGGGACTGTGGGCTTTGAGAGCAGTCTCTTGGGAGACAAGATGGACCTGAGGGCTTTTCATTTGGACCGTGGGCTTGTGGCAAGTCTCTTCTACGGAAGAAGACGGCGCGGGATCTGTACGCTATTGTGGGTTGACCAAGAGGGCATTCGTTGCACTGCAACATCTTCACAGTGGGCAGACGGCTTATTATCATGAAACTGGGGAAGATCCTTCCCGATGTCTGCCAGCTTAGCAGACCTCGACGGAGGGGACTCGATGATTCTAGATGACGACGGCTTCTGTGGGCTCTGGGGGTTGCTTTCAACGGCTTCGGCTGTTGATGTGGCTAGTCAGGCGTTTTTCTTCCCTTTCGGTTACTCTTGAACTTGGAACGATACCATGCAATGCGATGCAGGATGTGGAGTAAGTATACTTCTCCCCGTGAATGTCATTTCAAAAAAGGCATATATTGCCAGGTGGATTCGGCGTTAAGGAAGGGCTCCAATTGTAATAAAAGTTTTGATACCTTCCTCGATGAATACACATTTATCCTCTTTCATCTATGCCTATTTACCTACCACGTGATGTTTGATGTCGTCTGCGACCTTATCTCAGATCGCGGCCGTGTTCTCAGACGGGAACGTGGTTCCATGTCTCATTTGGGGGAATGGAGGGGGGGGGGGGCGCGAACTGCCCGATTTCGGTCCTATACAACGGTAGCCTCGTGGCCAGCTTAAAATGTGCGATTCTGCGTCATTGGGCGGCACGAGGTGCGTACTCAGCCCCGTGATGACGGGCAAAGCTGTGTCTTCCTCTAAAATGTCCCATCCCACTAGAACACCCGTCCTTTGGTCACTCCTGCCCTTCTCAGCTAACAAACGTCACGGGAGAACACCCGTTCGCCAGCAGATGGTTGTAAAACCTGCTCAGCCGTTTGACCAAGTTAGGTGCCCCCCCCCTCCAAGGCGCCAAACGGAGGCTATTCTGTTTGGAAAACGGTGGTGCGAAGGGAAGGACAAGGAGTAGGGCAGCAGTCCAGTGCTACCTACGACAGCACGTCAGTGGAATCTGGCATGACTTAGGGAACGATAATAAGACGAGAATCACGGCGTGTCTTGGGATCGTCCTTGTCGTTGGATGCATGTCGCGGCGTCGGCAGACCACTAGCAGCGCCGGACGGCAACCCTCTCCGCATTTCCCATGTTGCCGTACAGAGGTAGACCACGCAATATGCGACCGAAACTTGGAGAGCCGGTGTCGGTGTCACGGTGTTAAGTGGTCGAGGGACTCGTGGTGGGCGCAGCTCGCGCTTCCCGCTGCAAAACGCCGTGAATCTCGACCCCACCTGACCCCCTGCAGCGCCTGCACTTAGCGGCCCGGACGGTGTGTAAGTGCCAAAGTGGGATGTTCTGAGGCGGGACGTGGACGTGGATGCGTCCATTCAGTACGGAGTACGCAGCAGTGTATGGCTGTCTCTCCTCCCCCCTGACCGTAACGATAGCGTCATCCATATCAAGGACGTTCCCTTGATCAGAGAAATGTCGTACTGTGCTTATCGCGCTGTTTGCAGCCGGCCAACGCCCGTCTGATAAGGCGGAGGTCATGCCACCTGACACGGTACGGTGGCCGGAACCTCCAAGCGCCGGCTCGGAGGACCAAGTATCTGCCACGCAAATGACTGCTGCAGATATACATCCAGTGACATTCCAGATTATCTACTAGCGTCCGTTATCCCACCTGCCGTTTTGCACGCTCAAGGTGGACACAGGGACAGAGAGGCCCCTCCCCTCCTTCCAGGTTCCCCGACCTCTACGTGCTGCACAAAGGCCCAGCCAGCCATCCACCAGCCGGGCCTCAACACCATCTCACCGACCCTGCGTGCCTGGTGAGCCGGCTATAGTCGAAGCGGTCTGCTGCAACCCTTCCTTTCTTACCTACTTTTTTGTTTTCCCCTTCTTACTTCAACTCTTTTTCCGTCGTGAACCAGCGCGTTTTTCAAACCACTTTCAACGTCGAGCGAACAGACAACTCGGACCCCTTGCTACGGAGATCTCACGAGCGTATCTTATCTCCAAAACGCGGGGTTTGGGACGGAGGAAGTACTCCCCACATACGTCCAACCACCTCCCTCGACGACCACGACGACAACAACGTCTGACGATTACGAACGACCTTTCTCTATATCACTCTCTGGATACTATTTTCCTTTCTTCGAAATTCAACGGCGTCAAAAATAAATAAATATAAACCTCAAAATGGATGGACAGCAGCGCGACGACCGCGCAGGACACAACTTCCAGAATAACAGAATGTCGGCGAACGGATCACAGCCCGCCGCGGGCCCTCGCAGACGGAATGACGGTCAGTCACTAGAAGACAGCCACTCGGCTGGTCAGATTGACAGAATGCTGACATCTCTCTTTTCAGATTCGTGGGTAGAGGTCTCGTCGCAGCCTTCTTCATCTTCTCTTTCTTCCATCGGCGACGAGATCGTCACCACCGGTCTCCGAGTCGGTGGGTCCATGGCCGCCCGCCGACGTCGCTTACATCACCAAAACCAACCTGTGCCACGATCTTTTCATGTCGACCAGACGGCTATCCACGCTGGTACAAGTAGCCAGGAGGAGTACGAGGAGAGTGAAAGCGAGGAGGACCGATGTCTGACGAGCTCGACCGAGAACGTTCGGCCTCCGGTGCGAGCGTCGTTCCAACAGCAACCATCGGCGCAGGAGGATTCGGAGGCCTCTGACGATAGCGACGAGATTGCTACCGCCCTGGGTCGCGTTTCCGATGATCCGGTCTTCAGACCCCAGCCAAACGCATTCTCTCATCCGCCCTCTGGCTTGGATAGGAGACACTCGGCCAGCTCGGCGATCCACCAGCATCCGCACAGCGGTGTAAGGCCCGCACTATCCCAACGATCTCAAACTAGAGTCAGCCGGGGCCCGCCAAACTTCATGTCCCCCGCATATCAAGCCGATAATGACGCGGCTCTCCGTGCTTCCCTCACGACTCTGCTGTCGTGCGCCGCTGCCGCCCGTGGTCTGCCCAAGTATAAGGATACTACCGAGCGACAGGGCGCTCCACCCGCGCATGCCGGAGTCGGACCTAGCTCCCAACCTGTTGAGTTACGGCTGATGCCCGAATCTGAGCTCATGGCTGAGAGACCTACCCAACCTCAGACCGCCTCACCTGCCAAGTCTCCCGCTGCCCGTCCGTCACGGACAGCGGCGTCTTCTGCCCCTTCATCGCCCAAGAGCGACGGTGTCGATAAGCACAAACGAACCTCTTCCTCACAGACACGCTCGTCCCGTGCGACAAAGAAGAAGAAGGTCACCGCCAACGAGGACGCCCTCATCAGCCCGACGTTGCTGACATGGGTTGTCAGTGCTGGCGTGGTGGTGTTGGTGTCTGTGGTAGGATTTGGTGCGGGATATGTGATCGGCCGTGAAGTAGGACGTCAGGAAGCACTATCAGCAGGAGTAGGTGTCAACGCCTCGGCAGTTGCGGACTCATCTTCGTGCGGACGGGAAGTTATTCGATCGTCCGGCGGCGGTCTTCGTCGCCTGAGGTGGGGTGCGGGGGTTGGTCGAAGCGTCGTCGCCTGAGATTTTTTGAATCTGCGTCGATCGTCGGACATGTCGTCTGAATCATGAAGCGTCGGATGCTATTTACGTACAGGCGGATCCGGGGTACTGGATCTTTCGGGCTTCCGGACCTGTTTCTTCATACACCTCTTGTCGGCTTTCTTCTCTTTTCGTCACGAACGGGTATGAGCGCGGACATTGACGAATATAGACGACTGCAAGTTTTTCTTATCTTTTCATGGATACCTCTTCTTCCCAAACGGGGGGGGGGGGGGGGGAAACCGCGGAATCTGCCTGGCAATCAGCATTCGGGCGATCATGCCTGTTCGAGCGTCATTTCAACCCTCAAGCACCGCTTGGTTTTGGGGCCCCACGGCACACGTGGGCCCTTAAAGGTAGTGGCGGACCCTCCCGGAGCCTCCTTTGCGTAGTAACTACCGCCTCGCACTGGGATCCGGAGGGACTCTTGCCGTAAAACCCCCCAATTCTTTACAGGTTGACCTCGGATCAGGTAGGAATACCCGCTGAACTTAAGCATATCAATAAGCGGAGGAAAAGAAACCAA